ATCTCAAAAAAAAATAAAATAGACAAAAAAAAGAAAAAACGCCGACCGAAAAATGTATAAAGTATAAATGTAAAAGTATACTGAATGACCAGTGTTATTACTGCTCAGGGGTATGACTTCCTCTCACATTTTGTCATTTGGTGGCGCACTTTCGGCGAGAGTTGGAAATCCGGAAACTGTCGACCGTTTCAGGATAGGTGGGCGTGGCTACAACACGAGAAATATCCCAAATTTACTTGGATACGAGTAATCATTTTCAGCAAAAAAATCAATACTGTCCATTTCAGTGGGACACAGATCTAAAATGGGAAACGTGAGGGTGGGCATTGCACAGGCACTTTAACTGTTAAAAATAATCAAAATCTAGCATTTCTATCAGAATTGGGACAGCTACAAAATGTATTGTTCAAACTTGTATCACATATAATGAGACCATAATTCAGATCGGATTCAAAATGCTGAATGACTAAAATTTGGTATTGAATAAATGATGTTCTTGAGACAGCTGGAAAGGGCTTGTTTTATATATTCACAACTACAATATATACCATGTCACACATATTGACATGCATTTATTTCAAATTCTGATTCAAAATGTTTGCTATTGAACCAAAAGAACTCATATGTCATTATATGACTTGTGTTCAAGACTTATTTTGTATTCTCTAATGATAACTCAACTAAATATACAAACAGGGAATATGTAATTGACAATGACTTGTAGTATTGCTTATTCACTTTTTTAGCTCCGCTGTCGACTTTGTCGAGCGGAGCTTATCATATGAGTGATTGTCCGTCGTCGTCCGTCGTCGTCGTCGTCGTCCGTCGTCGTCGTCCGTGTCAATGTTTTACTTTTTCGACTTCTTCTTGAAAACTACAAGCCTAAATGCTTTGATACTTGGTGTATATGTACCTTGGGTAGACCTCTCTTAGTTTGTTCATTTCATGTTGATATCTTTAATTCTCTAATTTTGGTGAATATTTTTGTCATTTTTGGTAAAAACTGATATTTTCGACTTCTTGTTAAAAACCGCAAGTGCAATTGCTTTGATATTACA